GAACCCCAAAAACCCCCCCAGGAACACCCTGGGGACCCCAAAAACCCCAAATTCCCCCAAACCCCCCCCAGGAACCCCAAAAACCCCCAAATCCCCCAAAACCCCCCCCCAGGAACACCTCGGGGACCCCAAAACCCCCAAATTCCCCCCAAACCCCCCCCCAAACCCCACCCAGGGACCCCAAAACCCCCCCAGGGACCCCAAAACCCCCCCAGGAGCACCCTGGGGACCCCAAAAACCCCATCAGGGCTCCCCCAAACCCTTTTGGGGTCTCCCCAAATCCCTTTTCCTCCCAATCCGGGGATTTTGGGGGTTGGGGAGGATTCCCTGGGGTTTTGGGGTGATTTTGGCGTTTCTGGGGTGGTTTTGGGGGTTTTGGGGTTTTTGGGGTGGTTTTGGGGGTTTTTGGGGTGATTTTGGGATTTCTGGGGTGGTTTTGGGGGTTTTTGGGGTGGTTTTGGGGTTTCTGGGCAATTTTGGGGTTTTTGGGCAGCTTTTGGGGTTTTTGGGGTGATTTTGGGGTTTCTGGGGTGATTTTGGGGTTTTGGGTCGAGTTTTTAGGGTTTTTGGGGAAGTTTTGGGGTTTTCGAGGTGGCTTTTGGGGTTTTCAGGGCAGATTTTGGGGTTTTCAGGGCAGATTTTGGGGGTTTTGTGGTTTTGGGGTGGTTTTTGGGGGTTTTTGGTGGTTTTGGGTTGGTTTTTGGGTGTTTTTTTGGGGTTTTCCGGGTGCTTTTTGGGGTTTTTGGGGTCGTTTTTTGGGGTTTTTGGGGTCGTTTTTTTGGGTTTTGGGGTCGGTTTTGGGGTTCCCGGCCCCCCCAGCGCCCGGTCCCCCGCAGGGCGCGGCAGCAGGCGAAGATGGCCGAGTACTGCCGCAGCATCTTCGGGGCCGCGCTGCTGACGGAGCCCCTGGAGAAATACCCGGTGGGTTCGGGGGGTTTTGGGGGGTTTTGGGGGGTTTTGGGGGGGTTTGGGGGGGTTTTGGGGTGATTTTGGGGTGATTTTGGGGTGATTCTGGGGGTTTTTGGTGCAGCTGGAGCCGGGAGTGCCCCTGCCCAGCCCCCAGGAGCTGCTGGGCCGGATCCTCATCAAGAACAAGAAACGGCGCCCGGGAGGGGCCCCGCCCCGCCCCAAAACCAGCGGTAACCCCAGAAACACCCCAAATACCCCCAAAACACCCCCAAAACACCCCAAAAACACCCCAAAACCACCCCAAAACCACCCCCAGAAACACCCTCAAAACCAACCCAAAAACAACCCCAAAACACCGCCAAAAACACCCAAAAACACCCAAAAACCACCCCAAAAACACCCTCAAAACACCCCCAAAAACACCCCAAAAACACCCCCAAAACACCCCAATAACACCCCCAAAACACCCCCAAAAAACAACCCCAAAACACCCCCAAAACAACCCAAAAACATCCCCAGAAACACCCCAATAACACCCGCAAAACACCCTGCAAAAACACCCCCAAGACACCCCAAAATACCCCCAAAAACACCCCCAAAAACACCCCTAAAACACCCCAAAACCAATCCAAATAACCCCCAAAACACCCCCAAAACCACCCCAAAACCACCCTAAAAACACCTGAAACGCCCCAAAACACCCCAAACCCACCTCAAACCACCCCAAAACACCTGAAACCACCCCAAACCGACCCCAGAACCCCCCAAACCTGCCCAAAAATCACCCCAAAACACCCCAAAAACACCCCAAAATCACATTTACACCCCCAAAACCACCCCAAAATCACCCCAATCACCCTAAAAACACCCTAAAAACACCCTGAAAACACCCCAAAACACCCAAAACTACCCCAAAATCACCCCAAACCTGCCCAAAAACCCCCAAAACACCCCAAGCCTGCCCAAAAACCACCCCATAATAATTTACACCCCCAAAATCACCCCAAAACCACCTTAAAAACACCCTAAAAACACCCTAAAAGCACCTGAAACCACCCCAAAACACCTGAAACCACCCCAAAACCTCCAAAACACCCCAAACCTGCCGAAAATGCACCCCCAAATCAACCCCAAACCACCCTAAAAACACCCCAGAACACCCCAAAACCACCCCAAAACACCCCAAATATCCCAAAACCACCCCAAAATCACATTTACAGCCCCAAAACCACCGCAAAACCACCCCAAAACACCCCAAAACCCCAAAACACCCCAAAACAACCCTAAAAACACCCCAAAACACCCCAAAACACCCCAAAACAACCCTAAAACCAGCCCCAAACACCCCAAAATCATCCCAAAACACCCCAAAACAAACCTAAAAACACCCCAAAATCAACCCAAAACACCCAAAAACCCCTAAAAACACCCAAAACACCCCAAAACACCCCAAAA